GATATTGTCAGGTGTTGCGAAATGATCAAATTTTACAAACGTATGAAAAATATAGAGAAAAGAGAAGCAGAAATATTCGCTTTGTGTTTCAATATTCGATAATTATCGAAATATCTAACAACAAAAGTTACGCTATCTTTCGTGGTTCGAAACCGCGTTGTCCTATTTTTTAGTTTCGCGAGAATATTTTGTCTCTGATCGTGCATGACCTTTCTAGAGGATTTCATCTGGCGATAAAAGGTTAAAGGGAGCACTAACGCTGAAATTAAAGTTCCATTAATGTCACCGAGCGGTTCGCCAGTCTCAAAATTTCAATGTATACTAATACCAGCTGTTAGATTAGACTTAACCCTTTCGGCACAAGTTTCCGTAATGTACCATTCCACACGATCTATACACAAGGAAGGATATTTTGTGCACGTCCAAATGTAACATCCGCAACGATTTCTAAGTCTTATTAATATTTTTGGCTCGGTGAAACAGTGATATCCTGTATTTTTTTCTTTAAAAAATTCTTTACATTTATGGGAGAAATTTATTCGCTGAATTTTAACTTATTAGGTTGTCCGAAAAGGTTCATAAGGTGATAATAGATGAACGACAATTTCTGTTTTATATTATTTTATTGAATCAGGTATGATCAATTTCGCTATATCTCTATTATTATGTTCGTGCATAATTCAATAAACTGATATAAAACAAGAAACCTTTTGAAAGAAACTTTTCAGACAACCTAATACTATGACGAGGAATATATTTTTTTTAATCGTATAATTATTGAAAAATTCCTTTTACAACGTTATTTCGTAAATATAAAAAGTTTCCAAAAATAACCGAACAAGGGACTAACCACATTTTGCTCCTTTACCGTGTACGAAACTTCATCAAAGGCGACGCATAATATTCGTTGCGGTCCTCTTGCGAATCGACTAGATTTTAGTCGATACGTTGTTTTAATAACTGCGAAGCCTTTATCGACACGTTTTATCGATAACATTTTAACCAAACAAAATTATGTTTGCAATGCTCAAAATGGGCCGTAAATCTCGTAGGAATTCTACGCGATAGTTTAATTAGAAGCTTCGCTTGTCAATGAAGATGGAGCTTAACAAAACGACTTTCCGCTCGTTGCGCGACACGAAGCTTTAAACAACGACGACGAGTTACGTTCCAACTTCATCCTACGAGTCCTTTGAAAAGGTCAAAGATGAAATTTCGCGTTGCTGTGATTTAACGGAAGATTGGCCTGGCATAAAAACAGGTACACGAACAACAAGAAAGGGATCGAATTGCGGGAATGAGAAGGGAAAGTAGCGGAGGCAGTTTATCTGCTGTGTAATCGCGAGAGGTTTAATTAATGGAAGCTCCGAGAATAAAAGTGATGGCGATCGGCCACTCCGTCCCCCTTAAACAGTCTTCAATGGAAAACTGTGGCACTCGAGCTGAGATCTCGCACGGATTTCCCAAGAATGGCGCTAGTACGTGGACGGTTGAGCACGACTGGAGAAATTAGCGTAATCCGCGTACCGATCTCTAGTCTGCCACGAATCGCGCTAATGATCGTTTGAAATGAAAACAAAGCGAAAATCCAGCGCGTCTGTAACGTCTTTTAATACCGACGCGGCAGCCTATCAATGAAATAGTATCAGCTTTTACGTAACATTCCGCTGATTACGGTAAATCGGTGTAATCCTTTGGCTAACATCGCGGTTGAATTATTCGGAATTATTCGACAAGCCGCGTTGCACGGTCCGGAGAAAATCGAAACAATCCTGATAGGGTGCATTGTAAGCATGCACGCGCGTGTTTGCTTTTGAAATTCACTAAAATTCGCTTGTTCGCATATTACTACTGAATAACTGCGCACCGGTGTACGGGCTGCATTAAAACATAGTTTCAAGCGCAGTTAGAGCGGCCATTCACCAGTCTATGATTAATACGAATCTATTCGCTTTATAACGAGCCCGTATACGAGAAAATCCAAATAATTTGGCAATAATGCGCGGTATATCGGCGTATGTACTCCGCCACGGCAGCATGTAGGTACGTATGTAAATAACGTTGATGCAACGTGACTCGAGTCGAATCTGCTTTTCCTCGTGAGCCACAGATTTGCTAAATTAATTATGCTAGAAGCCAGGCTGCTAAATAGACGGAAAAGGGAACGACACGCTGCGAAGACGACGATAAGGCAGAGATAATTGGAGGATAATGCAGATGAAACTTCTTCTCGCGGCTATAATGGCCACGGTTTTTACGCGTTTGAACATCGTTTTCTGCGAAGAGAAGGCGAGGACAGACTGGCGGCTAGCAATAAAACTCAGTATGGGTCTGCATACTGGAAGATCGATAAGCATCCCGACGAGTCTCCGACGTTTAAACCGACCCACCGCTCCGAAACTCCTAGAACTCGCGAAATCGAGTCGAATAGTTTGCCGATTACGAAACAGTTTCATCTGCTTTTTTCATAAAGACATCGTCAGCTGGAGTTGCGCCTCGCTGAAAATTGAACGACCTACTTTCGCGCAAGGACACCGCGGAATCCTGAATTCGGTTGGATACGATTGTGAATTTTCACACAGCATCGGATAAATTTCGTATGCCGCGAAACGTCTTACAACGGAAGTCCAAAGATAACGAAGAACTGGAAGAAACATCGCGATCTTTGTTCTGGAGGCACTCCAAAAATTTCGATCGAATACCCTCCAGGCTGAACAAATTTAGCATTTAACCGGAAACGGTGTTTCCTGGGCGCGTCTTATAAGCATCGTAATGTATATATAGCGGGCGCAAATACAGGAACGCGATTTTAATCATAGATGTAGGTGGAAAACTGGCCAAAGAAATAGGTCGAGCTATTTTCACGATGGTATCCTTCGATAGATAAAGTAATCGCAGAAAAAAGGAGAGGTGGTCCTTCTCGAATAGAGAATAGTTTGCCATTTCGGAACTGGCCCTTTGAGATACGATAACAGAGTGCCTCCATCGAGTTTCGCTCTCCAAAGGGCTGCTGCCTGGCCGGCCTTTTTCAATCGAACTCGAATATATAGGACAATTTATGGAGGTAATATTCGACATGCCAGTACGACAAAAACTAATCGAAGATTAAAAGCAAACAGTAAATGCCTGATATCTGACGCGGCTTAAAAATAACGAGCCATTCTTCTTATGTGCTGCTTCGATGGCTAACGAGTTACATCCAACGCAGTAGAAGAGAAATTAAACTCATTCGCTTGCTCCAACCAGTCTAGTAACATTTTCTCTGCAACGAATTAATTAAACACGCGAGGAACACGGTTGCTTAAGTTATAGTGTGTATACCGTAATTCATAGAATAAAAGAAAATTCAGGTTCGTGGAATACGTATTATACATATCTTTGAAAAATCGAAATTGCGACACAAGGACGAATATACTTGATTATTGCGATCTCACGTTTCCAAATTTAATAGCACGATACGAGAAAAGGAATAATCTAACTTAATTTCCTGCTCGTCTTCTTTGGAGTACACACGCGTCTCTAGTCGAAAGACTGAGACCAGTATGGCCCTCTATACTCTTTGTGGATCTCGGCCAATGGGAATTAAGTCCACTCGCAATACCGCAGGGAATACAAAAACGAAGAAATTCTAAAAGTCTGTGCAGAAAACAGAGCTTTTGCTTTCTGTCTATGTTGATATTCACACCGATACGGCTCACGTTATTGCTTTTCAGAGCACAGAGAGAGGAAAGAACAACCGGAGAAACGTCACAAAAATAAAGAAACCGAAGTAAATAGCCTTTTCCTCTCGACTACTACTACAAGACAATGTTTACGTACTCTTGTACGCATTTATACGTCGTTAGCCAATGGAATTTTCAGCTTTATTTTCAATTTTAAAGAATTACGTAAATGCCTGTTTATTTTACGTAACAGCGAATATCTTACCTCGAAAATTCAATTACATGTCGCTTTTGATTAGATCCCTCCAAGCTCGAAACACTAAAAGTGGCGGGAACGAGTGGATGTGTTTTCGTTTGATCACTTCACTGAAACAGTCGCCACACGAGCATACGCGATCGAAAACATTTATCATAGTGAAAATATTACCCGAACACGTAATATTACCACGACAGAATCACTTCTCATCGAGATAAACCTATTACCGTCCGTTACTTTATACACGCCGCGCTTACATTCGCCATTTTGATTAATCACTACGTGCGCGCCACGTAGCGGCAGAAACTGTAACTATTGGTACGTGTACGTAGAATTTAAACGACCGCGGAAAATCATTATTTTAATAAAATAGGTAAATAAAGATATCACGCGATGTTTGATGGCACATAAACTGGCGCTTTGTTTAAACTAATTCTACGGAACTAGCGATGGTTTACTTTCTATATTTTCCCAATGAAAATATACATATTTTTATATATATCTATATATAAAATAATATATATGTATATATATAATATAAAATGATATATATATATTTTCTATATATATCACAGATTGTTGCGAAGCGGTATTTATTTAAGAATTGTAAATTGTATTTATTTTAGAAAAATAACATGTTTTTCGTATATCGACGTCACGGAATGTTTATAATTGTTACCTTTGCGTGGTAAAATCGAGGCGAATGTTTCTAAAATGAAATCAAACAGCACACAGTATGTATAATTCTGTTGCGTGGAATGGATAAAGGAACAGAGTGTACAGGTATAATTAGTATAGGAAGAAATTTCAAAGCAAAACACTGGAATTTGATACTTTTTGCTGCAGTCTTTCTTTCGACCTCGACATTTCGTTGGAAAAAATGGAAAGAACAAAGATGAAATTAAAAGACCTCGGAACGCTAGAGGCTACTTTGATTTTTCATTTCTATGAGATAAAACATAACAAACAACAGAGACACTTGAATAATGAACGATTTTTGCGAAAAAGATGTAATCGTTGTTATCGATCAATTTTTTCGTTATACCAGAACCCTGATTAACCCTCAGCTAATCTTGTTCCAGATCGAGAGCAAAATGTCGATCGAAGTGAGAGGGGGTCGACCAACAATGCCAACGATTCCACAATCCAAGAGACCAACAATTCTAGTTTATCCAACAGGTGAAAACACGCTTGCATAAATTTTTTATAAAACGTAATGCACATTCTCAACTAATGTAATACTCATAACAATCGCTCCAAACATCATTGAAACAATAATATTCAATTTTACTGAATCCATGGGAATATGACTCATATTTTGATAACGCGAAAATTTAATTATCATGAACTATATAAGAGGAAACAAATCAAATTATCAGATTTCCTGACGCAGAAGCCAATAGCTTTGCAAAGTTCAAAGATTTGCGAAAGGATGAAATATTTCGTTAAAGTCCTTCTGTGACAGAGAATATCTTCGTCGTACTTAAGGAAGCAACCAAGCAAGTAATTGCTTCCCAATCTCAAGGGTCTAAGAGTAATGGAGAGTAAAGGTTAATACAATTACAAATCGTCTAGACGCATAACTGGAAAAGTGACATTAAAGCATTATTTTGACGTTGTAATTTAAAATGATATTGTTACACGAGATAACATAGTCTTGATTATAATAAAACATATTTGTATTACATCGCTATATTATTCAACGTATATTTACACAACCATACCGTTATACTATCCCTTCTATTCTATCCTGTTGAATGAAACATTTTTCTTTTCTTGGGGTCTAAACTGTTGTTTAGAAGATTGACAATACTCTTTCCAATTTTTACTAAAAGATTCATTTATTATAAATGTCAGTTCTGCTTTGTATTTATTGCGGTGTAATGTTTATTAAGAAACTATATCGATAACAGAAGAAATGGGATTCTTGCTTCCATATTTGTTTGAAGATTTAACACGGTTATTCAACTCGAAAAAGTCTTAAGTTTGCGAAATAATAAATTTTATTCCTCATCCTGTATTTGCTTAGTTTGCTTAATATATACTAATCGTAAAAACAAACTTAAGAAACAAACGTGAGAATAATAAAGCTTCGTTAGGAATACTCGTTGTTAGATCTAGTAGTAACTCGACTGATAGTGAAACCAATAGAATTGACACGTAAACGTTTTCTGACACATCTTCACGATTGAATTACAAATTATTTTGCTTTTTTTTTAGTAACTCCAGAGAGTATCATCATCCCAATAGTATCATGCATACTCGGATTTCCATTGTTGGCTCTAATGGTCATCTGTTGTTTAAGAAGAAGAGCAAAGCTCGCCAGAGAGCGAGCACGAAGAAGGAATTGTGATCTAGATCACGGAGCACTCAGTCTCGTTCGTTTTAGTCCTGTCCACCGTTTAGGTAAGTTTCAACGATAAAATCGAGTCTACCCTCTCCTTATTTTAAAAATCACTGCTACAATTAAATTTGGAATTAAAGCGTACACATCCTTGAAAGCAATTTTATAACGAAAATGGATTAAGGTCACAAAACATTTGCGTTCGCATTGTGTAGCACCCTAACCTCTTTAACAACCGCTACTCCGTGGTCGCTTTTCTCCCCAGAAACGTTGAATACATACTTATCCGTACCTGTATATTCAAATAGACTCCTACATATAGTCACGTAGACGTGTATAGTCGTATACCTTTGTAAACGGGGCGTATATATATACACGCATTCAGACACACGGCTGTGCAACGTAACAAAGAGAGTGGAAGAAGCATTAAACCAAATCGAATGGTGCCCTGAATATCCGAGTTCATACACCGATTTTAGATATTTCGAATTTAATCGTGTTCGTGTTTACACGACTAAAAGCGTTTAGTTTTCAACAAAGTATCGAGAAACTAAGTGGCCAAACCTATAGGTTTCTATTGATTTTTCATAGTTTTCAATTGCTTACTCTATCTAATTTCTAATCCCGAGATATAACGTTGAACTTTTCTAAGCATGTTACTTTACACTCATAACAATGAACGTAAAACGTTCATGGAACACGACATACGTATTTCGTTTGTCGAACATCGACGCAGTATGATACCTATGATATGTGGCTGACTCTGAAGGTACACGACTACCGCGACCAGTCATGACAACCTAACTCTTGATTTACGGCCCCTGAAATGGGATAAATAGACGGTTTAGTTACTACTTACTCTATACAAGCATGAAGGTTTTAATTAATAGGAAATACATAGTTATCGGACGATGGTACAAAGGATAATATTTGCTCTTCGAACTTTGTTATGTACCTAGATCGTAAAATTAATTTGCAGCATCCTAATATAAATTAAACATTTGACAAATCTTCAAACTGAAATATATACTTGTTATTTTATTATCCCGTCAAGTGCAGCATCGAAAGAGGATTTAGGTAAAGCCTTTTATCAACCTGATTGTTGCTTGACTTGGTCTCTAGAGATTTTAGAATTTCACAGAACAACCATAGTTTCTTTTACTTAATGCATAATCATTTGCCGCCGCCGCCACTACTACCGCTGCATACTTAGAAGACAACTTACAGAACTTAATTGAAGTTCCGCCAGAAGCGTGGACAAGAATAAAAATGATAAAAACAATTCGTGTGAGATTGATCATGCAGGCTACATTCAAACGTACTTAAATAATACTTTGTTAAGAATATTATAATTCAGCAGCTTAAGATTTCCAACGCGATCATGAAAATCGAAAATAAGAGAAGTTGAGCATTTTTATGCAAATAATATATGCAGCTTGGCTACATTTTAATCTTAATCGAAAGGCATGTATTTACTTCTTATGTATTTAACATAGTTCTAGTCGCATGACTTTAAATTGTTTGCTATGCAAGCCTATGCAGCGTATATCTCAATGCATTTCGTATACAACAATTTGTTAATAACTGTACAAATCAAATTAATAACTTTTACCACATAATCTTGACATTAGAATGCATTTAGACAGTATTAATCTTTATTATTGGTAATCTAAAAATTCACTTACAAAATTGTTAGACAAGATTTTCTATATAATCAAGTACCTTTATTGTTATGAAATATTAATACATATTCATATATATTTTTATGTGATAGCTGGAATTGATCGTCCAACGAGAACAGTATCGTTACGAAGCGATCGAGGATCTAGAGCTTTTCCATCACTGGAACTAGACACTGTCGTTGAAGAACGATCGGATCCTGAACAGAGCACTGCACTGGAACTTAGTAGCCCAGATTAGCATCCAGTTTTGGTACCGCCTAGGTCAGATTCTTATTTTCTGTACGTGTAATACATATTGAAATATCATTCTTATTTCCTTAAATTAAACATGAGAAAAAGGTTTCATACGAATCATGTATCATTTCCAACAAAGATTGCTTCTTTTTCCATCGACTTGTTTCTAGAAAATTTTCTTAATATTTAGAATTCCTGCATTACCGATATATCATTAGGAGTTGCAACTTGCAACTTTGCGAAAATATCTATTATGTATTTATAACAGATGCCATATTTGTAAAAGAATAGTAATTTAAGCTAATTATTTATCTTTCTATCTAGGTCTCCACGACCATCTAAATCGGTGGTACCATTATCCGTGGATCATAGCCCTCTATGGACTGCATTAACACACGCTAACGCTGTATCCTCTGCTCTTGGTGATACCTAGCAGGAAGTGGAAGAGGGCGGCTACATCGAAGCTCTCGTACTCGACTTACCCATAATCTATTAAGAGATTTATAAGATATATATGTATTACGACGAATTAGTATATGAGATCGTGAACAATAATGAAACTGATCGTAAGGAGATCTTCGATACAAAACAATTTGAAGTCTAAGGTCATTATATGGAATATGGATCTTTACAAGCAAGTTTTGCACTCGTATATAAAATTAATGACTAAATTTTATACTGTCAAACTGTACAAGATTCTATGAACATGCCGCTTTTTATATCATGAAAAACTTATAACGAGGCAACAAACGCTACATCGTTAGTGTAAATAAAAAATTGTTAATACCATGTACAAACGAAAATCACAATATGTAAATAAATGATTATAAAACACTGTCTATACAACACCTACATTCAGTTTTTACGAAATTTATACAACATGTACACATTACAATTGATTTTTGCATTGTCAGTGTAAGATATTAATGCACAGTTATGAGTGTATATAATATAATTATAAACAACAAAAAATGATTTGTTTGAAAACAATTCTCTTGTATTCTGATATCAACAATAAGTTAGTACAAATTTATCCTATGGAGTATTATTCAATTAATGAATATCATTTACGTAAATGTTGAATTCGTCTGAATGTAAAAATTTAATTAAATTATGCAGAATAAAACTGCATACCATATAAAATAACTCTTTTAGAAATAAATGTCTTTTATCTATAATCCTTTATGTTATATTTAAAATCCAGGTATAATCCGTCCCCTTTTAGCCGCTTTTTTTAATTTATGCATCTTTTTCTCTTTCTTTCTCTTCATAATGTTATCCTGTCTTTTTTCTTGTTTTTCTCGAATTCCTTTCTGTACATTGTCTAACCTAGATTCCCATTTTTTAGCACTCTGTCTTTTTTTATTTTCTTTCCTTTTTAATGTTCGCTTAAGTAAATCTATATCATTTTTCACCTATAGAAAAGTATAATGTTTACTCAACATGCTATTTGTAAACCATTATTCTAAATCTATTTTTCCTAAAATTATAAAAAAAATTTTCAAATTTAAATATATCTTTATTACCTTCTCGCCACCAGCTTTTGCCAGGGCAGTCTGCCATGCATCCTTTTCTTTAATTTCTTCTACTCTTTCTTTTTCACCTGATTGTTCCATTGCTTTTAACTTTTCTTTTTTTTGTTTCAACTCTAGTAACATCTTTTTTGCATCCTTTTTAGGCAGTTTTTTTCTTGTTCCAATTTCAGAAAAATCAAATTTACTGAATACCATTTTGCCTTCTGAATTAAACACAGGCTTTGGTCTTGGAACCTTTGGTACTTCACTATCTTCTTCTTTTATGTTAGACAAAGTATCCCCATTTTGCTCTATTTTTACTAGTTTCTTTTGCATTATCCGTTCTTTTTTCTTTGACATTTTTTTCATTCTGGTTTTCAAATTTTTTTTTAATTGCTTTTCTTTATATCCCAATCGTTTAACATTCTTTAATCCCTCCAATTTAGCATGTAACTCCTCAAATGTTTGTGCCCTCTTTTTCTTTCCGCCTAAATTTGGAAAAATATTATCTACGATAGAAGATAGAAATTTGAAACTAAATTAAATAATATACAACAATAGCAGAGAATAAATACCTTTTGACATGTTCTTTTTCTTGTGTGTAACTAATTTATTCTTGTCATCTGAAACTGATAACATGACAATTTTTATTATAATTGCAAAAATCATGAGTACTTTAAGGTTACGTTATCTTTTTATATTCTTACCTAATTCAGACATAGGCAATGGCATTTTTGAAAATATATTCGAAATAAACTCATTTTCTTGCAGCAATAATTGCTTCACAGCATTTTGATTAAATGGTTTTGACATTTTTAATTGCATGTTCTTCAGCACATACGCGTGCAATTATTTCCTACTACTGCTAGTACCAGAGTGTAAACGTCTCACAATCGTAAGCTATAGACACGTTTTCAACGCTTTAAAAGAACGTAGGTTAGAAATTACAGCTTAACGCGCAAACTCGTGAACATTGGAATTCTTTTTATTTCCACATTTTTTTTAATTCGTGTCATACTACAAGAAACGCTGGTAGTAACCGCTAATAATAGATAATATTTATATATTTACGTTTTAAAACTTTACTATATTTATTAAATAGAAACCAATAAAAAAGGAAAATAAAGTATCAAAGTAGAAGGTTTTATTCATATTTACTTTATTGTATAATATATGCACAACAGAAATAATATATTTATAATAAAGAGATCTCTTTCATCAATTCACTTGTTGTTAAAACAATCAGCTTCCTTCCATGTAGATGATACATGTCAAATTCTTTCATAGTTGCATATGCTTCACTGTATGTTTCATAATAAACATAGCAGTATGATATACCAGTTTTTGGTATTAGCATCATAGATGATACCGCTATTGGATTAAACTTGTTAAAAAGATGTAATATATAATGTATACTTAAATTTGGATTGACATTAGCTACGATTATTTCTTTTGCTGGAATAATTTTTGAGGATGATGGAATGATTTTACCATTTTGCATATATTTTTCATCAATAGACATCAAAGCTGGAATCTTTGTTTCATCAAATATTTTTTTCGACTCTTTTACATTTCCATTAGTAACTCCTAATGAAATTGAACTATTTGATGCAATTCTTTGTAGGTTTATATATTTTGAAATATGTTTTGAAGATGATATTTGTTTAGGAGGAGAACGGTCAATGCTGTCTTTATCATCTACCGCATCATTATTAAAGTTGCTATCGCTAGATAATGATTTTGATATATTAGCACCGGATTGGCAGTCCGTTTCTGTGTCTTGAAACTGTTTTATTGGTGAGAAATTACTAATGAGATTACTTTTCTCAGAACAATATTTAGAAGAATCTTGATTAGATGTTCTTTTTTTTCTACTGTGTGATATTTTGCCTGTAGTATTATTACGGCTCAAACGCTTTCCATTAGTATTATTTATTTTATGTATATGTGGCAAAATCTTGATAGATTTGTCATTTTTAAAGCCGTCAATGCATTTTATCGCATCTTCAACTGTTCCATATTTTATAAAACATAATTCATTAGCTTTTCCATTATCATCCACAGATAAAACTTTGCCAAAAACAGAAAACTTTTTATTAACCTCTTGCAAATTTAATCCCTTTTTATTAAGAAAATGTATAACATAGCTTCCATCTGATTTTTTGTCGTAATATTTTTCATGATCCATATTTATGTAAAATATCGTTTAAATCAATCAATTAGCGATTTTTAATTAATGAAGTATAATATATTTAAACGTGTAACCTATTTTTTGTCGGGCAACACGCGCTCCTTATCGTTAGAGTTTATAAATGTAAATGAACTGTATTAGTCCTTAATATATATTATCACAGTCAATGAATAAAGCCACTTCAATGCCAATAAATCAATATATCACAATGTAATAAAGCAATCGTATCGTCTATAAGCCTTGAGATTCGAAATATCGAGTAACTTATAAACATGGGGAAAAAAAACCTAAATATATGTACCTAAAATGTCCGTTACAAACAGCATATAATATGTTCGAACGTTAAGATAATAAATCATACACATTGATATGTTTAGACGTATTTATCAAATAATATTATGAAACGTTTGTCTTTTACATTTTAATATTCAGGTTAAAATAATTTAACTCAACCGTCGCTAAAAAAATATTATAATTGAGCATTCGAGTTTTCCCGCGTTATAAAAATGGCTGATTACGTAGCCATGTTGTACGATGGACTTGCGCATGCCGTCCTCATAATTTACATTTCCCAAGTATACGAAGTAGGTACCTTCGTTTTATTTATACGCCATTCAACAAGGCAAAAGTACCATCAAATATTTGGTTTTGTTCAATCTTTCTGGTCAAACTTTACATAATAATGGCGCAAACGTTTACGATTGAACATTAGTGGTGATCGGAAAAAAAAGAAAAGAAATTGAAGGAATGGGCGGAGTTTGCGCCTCCTGGAATACAAGGTAAAGGAGGTTGTTTTACGAAAGCTTCTATCTCCGATGTAACGAATAGTGTCTGGAAAGATCAGTTTCAAGGTAGCTTTATGCAATTTGGGGAAAATTCGAAGTTGACGGATACAGGTTAAGGGAACGGGATTAGGAGAAGCGGCGAAATCGCATCATAAATAGAGTGGATGCGCACGCGGACAATAACATGGGAGAGCGAGCGAATGAACCGCTTTAAACGAAGAAAGAAGGAAATGAATCAGCCATTCTGATTGGTCGAGGCGGCTATTAT